TTATAATTTATAGTTTTAAACCTATGATATTATATTTTCATAGTTTCAATTTTTTTTTTTAAACATGTGAATTTGACAATTTCTACCTATGATGATATTATGATTTCACTGATTTCAGTTTCAATTTTTTGTATAACCTGACATTTCTTTGTTATTTCAATATCACTTTAGGAACCACTCAACTATAGATAAAAAGGTAACATGAATTGAGTCCGAGACGCAATTCATTCAAAAAGATTCGTTTACCTGGTCTGGACGTCTGGTACGCAATTCGTGTGCGACCGAAAGTTATTTGAGACTTCATCATTTGATCCTATCTTTTTTAGAACAAAAGACCGTTGGAATAAGCGTTTTGTGGAACTAAAGATATTGTCCACCTAAATTTGTATTTTTATTGTTCCATGATAACCTTAACACGACAAGACCGAACAGAAACGATTGGAAAACTGTTATCATTTAAAAAAAAATATTACATAATAACTAATAAGCAATAATACAGTTTTTAAGTTTTTATGATTATTTATATTTTTCATGATTGTTTTGTTGCTTGTATAAACTATTACGCAAATGGGATACGTTTAGTCTAACATCGTTTTAAAAATATGATTGTTGATATTATTGGACAACATTAGTGTTGTTTGTATTGCAGTCTTCAATCGTGACTATAATGGATTCCAATTCGGAAAACGATTTTCTTGAAGAAGACTATTACTCAGTATTGAACCTGCCAAAGTCTGTTAGTCAATAATAAATACAGTTATATTTTGCAGAATTTTACTAAAGATTTCACAATAATTGTAATACTAAATGTTCTAGGCAACACCAGAAGAGATTACGTATGCTTATCGACGATTAAGTAAGATCTATCATCCTGATAAACATGTGGAGGAAAACAAGAAAAAACAGGCTGAAATATTATTCAACAAAACTCAAAAGGCTTATGAAGGTATATCACCATTGTGTTGGTTTTTGGTTGTTTTTTTTTAAATGTGCATTTATTCTAGTTCTGAAAGACCCACACCAGAGGGCAATCTATGACTGCGTCGGGGTAAAAGGCCTAAAAACTGAAGGATGGGAAATTGTTCATCGAACAAAAACCCCACAAGAAATTCGAGAAGAATATGAAGCGTTAGCAAGGTAGAAAACATAAAGATAAATATAACAATGAACATAACATTATCAACTTAATTCTCTGTCAGGGATCGAGAGGAAAGAATGTTGCGACTTCGAACAAATGCTAGAGGTGTATTTACTGCTAGAATTGATGCTACTGACATCTTTGAACCCAATCAATACTTAGATTTTGATGATGAGTAAGTCTTGCTTAATATCTAACCTTGCTTACTCTCCAAATAAATGTATTGATTAACTAGTTTATTAATTTAGAGACGATAGTTATCTTTATATACCTACCATTGAGGTATCGTCAATGACTATGTCAATGTCTACTGAAGCACCTATTACTTTACGTGACACAATCGTGCTTAGTGGAAATTTATCATCGCGTTCGGGTTCAGGTATACAACCAAATATATATATATATTTAATATAATCCAGTGAATATATAACAACAGGTCTTAAATATTTATTATTTTAAATAACTTTAGTATCTAGTAGCTATAAAAGACTTTTGAGTTCCAATGGATGGGTTAAGTATGATGTTACTGCTGGAAATGGCCTACATGTGGGTGCTAAAGTATTCAAGTAACTATATTTTATTTACATTATTCCGATGCTGCATATAATACATAATATTGACTTTAGAATGATAACAAAAACAATATTTGGAACAGTTGAAGGAAGTTTGAATGATTTATCAAGTGGCATGTTAAAACCTGTTGGCCGAGTATTGTTAGGCACAAGTTTAGGTGCCCGAACTACTGGTTATATATCTCTTGGCGGCCGTTTAACTTCAATCAAACATACTAGTCTATCAACTGAAGTAGAGCATAATACTGAAAGAAGTTACTGTATGTGTAAGCTAGAAATTGGTCTTGCTCCGGCTATAAGTATGTTATATACTTGGAAATTTATCGAACAAGACTTGTTACTAAGAATTTATGCAAGGTATATAGATAAACATAAGTATAAATAAATACATTGTGCACTGTAAATTAAATTTCTTATATTTTCAGAGCTGGTGTTTTGAATTCAAAACTTGAATATGGTGTTGAAAAAAAAGTATCTAAACTAAACACATTTGCAGCTACTGTCCAAATTGATGTGATAAATGGAGTTACACTTAAAATAAAGTAAACTATTAGTTAATTAATATGAGAATGATAATTTATTATATCTAGTAAATGTTCCAATTCAATTTGATTTTAGGTTTGTAAGAGCTAGTCAAACATATATTTTTCCCATTCTTCTAAGTCATGATGTGATTACACCTCCGATATTTTATGCAACTTTTGTACCTATTGTTTCCTGGTTTGTAGCAAAAAATGTTATTTTGGATCCAATCATGAAGGATTATAAGAATAGAAAAATTAACAAACAACGTGAAATTAATAAAAAAAGGTTGGATGTAAAATGATTTTATTGTTTTTTTTTTTACATTCATATTTATTATATTTGTGTTTTTAGAATGGGAGAATTGCGTCAAGAAGCATTGTCAGCCATAAATTTGATGATGGCCACAATGGAAAGAATAGTGAGGGAAGAGACTGAAAAACGTGGATTAATTATTGTATTTGCTAAATATGGTAATGCTGAACTAATAAATCAATCTGGGGAGTCATTTGACGATAATGATACATTACAACCAAATGTTATTGATGTAACAGTTCCATTACAGTGTTTAGTTAAGGATTCACAATTAATACTCCACTCCACTACAAAAGTAATTATTGAAATATTTATTAAAAAATAATGTTTAATCAATAACATTACAAATTATTTTTATTTTGTATACATTAGCATAAACTCAATATACTGTTGATAATATTATCCCATTTGTTGATCTGTCATAACTATTTTATAAATTCTAAGTAAAGAACATTAACTAGCCTTCTATTTATTTATTTATTTTTTATTTATATGAATTTTTTAATTCAATCAAAAAACAATAAAACAAGTAAAGCAGCCTAACTTTAACTTTTTGTTGGCCGGGTCAATTTTATATACTTAATTTATCTCATATTGAGAAAAAATTGTAAAACATTTTGTATGAGGACATTAAATTATTTAATATATCCCGTAAATAAAAAATAATTATATAATTTTTTGAAAATTCATTATTTCATCAAAACTACTGATACTAACCCCAATTTTTTATAAAATATTTTGTAGTGTCATTTACCTGGATTTTATGACCCGTGTATTGGAGAAGACAAAGTATTACTTATTGAATACACACACAGAGATCAAAACTATGAAGTAAAAATTAATGATAATGAAGCTCTACGAATACCAAGACCACATTGTAAGTAAAAATTGGTGTTCATTAATTAATTTGAAAAATACCTTTATGTATAATTATAATATACACATCTTATGATCAACTAATATTCCAATTGCATATTGCGTATCAATAAGTTTTGATGAAAACACTCAGTAAAACTTTATATTTAATAAAAAATAAAAAATATTTTATGTTTTTAACCTTATCAAAATTTAACATTTCCGTTTTGAAACATAATATTGTTTATTGTCTTGGTATCTCTATCCTTAATGTATATAAATGTTTGTTACTAACTAATAAAGCTTATAGAATAAATTATAAATATTTCAAATTAACATACAAAAATAATTGCAATTTACATATAAAACAATCAACTATTAATATAATAATATTTTCAAAGATTGCATAAATAGTTCTAAATGTATGTATATATTTAGAATCTGTTAAAATAATTAAATTACATTCCAATAGAAGTGTTCAGTCATTCAAATCAGACAAATATTTTTCATTATATATAAATCAGATATATCATTAAAATGCACTACCTGTTTCATAAACTATCAAATAATATGGTTAGAGTCAAAAGATAATGTTCATTGTGAGATATTATGTTGATGCTAATATAATATGGTGCCAGTCTGATTTTATGGTTTTTTTATTTCCCATTTACGTACACATTCTTGCGTGTTATCGCTTGTATATTATTTTTAATTTTGTATCAGACATCAGTAGAGTTTTTATTTTTTCGTTGGTATTGTTTTACACGTAACCAAAAATATTAGCTTATATTTAGTTCATATAAAAATTATTTTATTTTCCAAAAAAGCATAAATTATGTACAACACTAAAATGATTAGCCATTCAGGTATATTTTACCTATGTATCTATATTTAATATGAATGGTACATTTTTTTATATATAAACCAACACAATAGTTGTAAATAAACTATTTTATTCTTAAAAAAAGTAATTTTTAAAATATTATATTAATATTTTTTTTTATCAATTCAATTAATAGATTTTAGGTTGAAAAATTCTTATCATTGTATATACAATGTTACCATATATAGTATTTAACTAATTTAAACATAAATTAAAATTTTTTAAATACTTGCATGAAACAAATATATAGGGAACAATAATTAATCGAATAATATAGACAGAAAATTTGTATGTTATATAATATTTTATAAAATAGAATGGTCCCTAAATAGCAAATGTTTTAAAAATAATTAAATATTTTAATGTTCTACATAATAACAAAATTATATTATAATAATTGTATCATTCTTTACTCAAAATAATTTTTATAGTAATTAATGATTTTTATTTTTAGCTGTACTGGTTAGAACTGCTACACCGCCATCTTGATTGAAGAATCAAATAATATATTTAAAAATTAGTTTGATAAACCATTATTATTCACTTTTTGTGTTGAATTTATTGTTAAAATTTGGTACGTTTATTGGTAGATAATAATGAATAAAATTGTTCTATTTACAATTTGTTTTTTTTTGTTAATATATATGTATATATATATTTGACTTGTTAACCAATCCATAGATTATGTCTTATTAAGTATTCTATTTTAAACTATTAAACCTAACAAATGCATTCAGATACCTTAAAAAAATTATTACAATTTAGACATGTATTGTTACCAGAAAGAGGTCTTGCAGTTAGGTTTACTAAATTTGTGCATAAGAATAGTAAAAATAATTTTAATAAAACAAGCTATTATTATGATTACAAAAATAAATTGTTCAATGAAAAAATTTAAATATCCGCTAATATTGCTGTAGCCTGGTAAATAATAAATCTGCCGTTAAATCTTGTTTGTGGTCAGTGATCACCTTGATTTATTTGATAGAAAAGTTCTATCTCCATTAATTTATGTATCTGTAAAGTAATTCAGATTCGGTCTGCCTTAAAAAAAAAAATTGGATACCGCTGCTCTAGACTATTTTATAACAGTATAATATACTTTTATGGTTCTTAGTTAGAAAATATTTATTGAAGAATAATTGTCTTAACTTAAATATTAACTTAATTATCTGAACAGATGAATATTTTACATCATTATTTGAAATACATAATACAAATTGTAAGTATCTTAATGTAAATACAATATTTTTAATCTATACATAATAATAATTACTTGTATGAGTTATCTAAGCAAATAATTATTGGAAATCAATCTTACATATGGATCTAAGCTGAAATTAGATTAGAAGACTTTAAAAACTCATAAATATATTCACCTGTACACCATGGCATTACTTTTGCTGGTGTTATGTGAGACTTCAACAAGTTTTCTAATATGTAACCCGACCTCGGAAAGGCAATATCATTTTTAGTCAATTTCAAAATTGGGCATAAGTCGTTTTGACCATCACCGAAATATAATATTTTATCGTATTTTGTATTGTTATTTAAAACATGTTTCTCCACAATGTCTCCTTTACACATATTTGTAGTACACCTATTGCATTTGTTTTGAACAGCGTAAGGTACAATTTTAATGACACTATCTACAATTGTAGCTGGATTTGTATAAATGCATGAAACAGTATCTGACAACTTATTGTGTTTCAACCAGTTGCAAATAAACAATGTATTTGAATCAGATGCCACTATGATATCAACATTGTTTTCATAAAGCGCTCTCATCAGCTTTGGCATACCATCATTGGGTCTCATTAAGGATACAACATCGATTATTTGTTCAGCTGGAATTTTGATAGTTTTTATTATATCAAATACTCGTTGCATATATTGAGTCCAATTATTTGGGTAATCTTTTCTGTCTGGTACAAGATTGGTAGGATTTATTAAATCAATAGCAACTATATCAGAATTGCCATCAACTATTGTCTGATCAAAGTCGAAAACTGCCAACATATTTTCAAGTTCCTAAAATAATATTGTGTCATTTAGAATTATTTTTAAGAATAAAATAAAGTGGTTTTTATGAATAAATTATAATAGTGATTGTTCTTAGAAAATTCTGTTACCACATAACTAAAAAGTAGAAACACAGTGGGACTTATAGTATAATATTATATTAAAATATAATATAATATGACAATTTATCAAAAAACAACAAGAGTAATGTAAAAAAATTATATATTTATATTTAAAAATTACAAGGGCATATATTTTATGTTTTAGTGTAGCTGACATGCACGTATGGCAATGAGTTGTAACACAATGAATATAGGGGACATAATTTCTGAATAATCCAGATTTGAAATCCCTGCTAGTCTTCTGCAAAGTAACACTTTAAATAAAGACCACACAAACAATAAAGCTGATGACCATACTGTTCTTGTAACAGCTTCTTTGATGTGACCTTCAATGTAGAGACGTATCAAAACAATGACATTAAAGTATGTGCATAGCGCGTCTGCTACAAATAAGGGTGAAAACACAATCCATATATCATAGGAACCGGGTATAGTTGATGCAAAAGCGACATCATCTAATCGTAGTGCCAAGAAAATTGTAAAAACCAACAGGGCAATAAGATGCACCAACATTTCGAAGACCGTCAGCCCCAACCATCTCACCAACTCTTGCAATGCGAATAACATTTTACTTGGTTATTTTTATATGTATAGAAGATAGTGAACGTATTCTCGATTCATAATCATCATCTTCATTCAGTGGCTCCAAAATATCTATAAAAAAAAAAATATATTTAAAATATAGAATAAATTTACTCTGTTTAGCAAGAGAACATGCCTCGGACCAACAAAAATTAGTACTTCTGCACATCCCTGTCAGCGGTTTCAATGAAGAATTGGCATGTTATCTCACAGAACAGAGAGAAATTATGCATGCAATGACCAAACAAAATGTAACTTAAACTTTGCCATACAGCATGTTCTAACACATACCTTTTATATCAGCTGTAGATGTCTGTATATCCAATTTGATTGTATTGTGAAATTTTTCCTGAAGCTTCAAAGCAACGTCAATTGTTGTGTTGATGGCTTTTCCAAGACCATTTAATATTAAAACTGAATTATCTAATTCTAGATGCTTGGCAGCTCGTGTTAAATGACACTAAAAAATTTTAAATTTAATAACTAAAGCCAAATATGTAGAAATTTATAATTTTGAAATTAATAGAAAAATGTAATGTAAAAATAATGATAAACATGACTTATTTTTATTCTGGTTTTTTATTTTAAATTTACACTAATTTAATATAGGTATTATTATATACACACAATTTTAACAAGTAAATAATAATAACTTTACTATAACAATATATTACTATAATATGAAGTACGGACACATAAGTTACAACTATTGTTAACAACAATGGATTTCACAAAATTAAACAGTATGGACAGTATTGCAACTTAAGAGGGATATTTAAAACTCATGCAAATATACAATATTTCATTAAAAAAATAATTTCTTTAGGTACATGATTATAATTTTTAGGTTTGTATACATCAAACTAATAATTTTCACGATTGTTTAAAATCTAAAAAAATATAGAAATTATTGAACAATACTTTATGAATTAACTTTTCAGTTAGTGAGTACTTATCTGGCAAGTATAATAATATGAAAGATCAAGTGTAATTTTAATGTCCAAAAAGCAAAAACCCAAAAGTTACATTTGTGAATTTAGAATTCAAAACAATACAGACTATAGCTAACTACACATGTAAGTCATTCAAAAAATTAAATATTCATCTATCTAATGGTTGTGCGTTGGGTGATAACCGTCGGGTATTATTGTTTGTAATAATCTTCTTACGACTTAACATATTAACTGCTTAAGTACTCAGTACCTTAGTACATACTATAAATTATAATATATAATTACCTGCACAGGTGTTTTTGATGAAACAAATAGTTCTTTCACCAAAACCGATTCTGATGTCGATAAGGAGGACATGGAAAATTATTTTATGAGTTGTAAGTTCTAGAATTTATTTTAATTTAGTTTAATTTTTTAACTATTTGATCATAACTCATAAGGGTCTGCCACCTAGCGAATGTTGAATAACTTGAAAAGTGCAACTATGAATATTAATAGGCGATGGTTGGTTTTACAGCGGTTTACTGGTTTATCAAGCCCACAGATAAAGATAGTAACTGATGCTGATCGTCTGATCACGATTCACGAGTTTCTTACACGCTTTTTCATTCACAGCTGTTTAAAATGTCTTTAATCGGATACCTAATTGATAAGATGATAACGTTTAGAGACCAACAACACTATTTAGTAACTACTACCACAGGGCACAGAATAACTTCTATATTTTATTTTGTGCTAATACTGAGGGCTGACTACAAATATAATAGGTAAGTACAGTATATTTCTATGGTACTGATTACTGACAAGTACGATCAGTACTAATCACAGATGTATAAAGTTACTTTATATATCTGTGGTACTAATCGTAGAATTAGAACACACGGATTCGGCGTTGTAAGTTTGTTTTTTGTTATCTGAAATTTATAGGTACGTGTGTTTGTCTGACCATTGAAATTCATCACTCGAAACCATGAGCGGTTTAAGTTTGTTGAAAAAAACCGTTCCCAGGAATGTGTGCTGCATATTAAAACAGATTCGACCTCTGCATGTGTCGTCAGCACTGACCAAATCAGTAGCTCCAAGGGAATCACTGAACTCCGAGTATGTACGACTTAAATTTTAGTAATGACCGTGACTTGTATGATTCGTAAAACGTTCCATCTGGTAAGCCTCCAGACATCTGTGGTGGTTTTGTAGCCAAATCTTTCCTAAACCTACCTTACTACCAATTAGGTTTAATAGTACTTAAATTGACATTAACAAAAAGAAAAAAAAGAAAAATAAAAATAAAAATAGAATTGTATATAATATGACAAAGATAATGATAGAATATGTATCGGTATGAGTTAAGGCACTGATACCGTGACCGGTTGTAAGTGATTAAGAACAGAGGTTAATAGAATGAGTTTTAGTATTTAAATGTATGAATTATTCCCAAATGCCATAATACGATCCCCAAATAGTGGAATGTGTTGCTTTGTTTTGAAGATTAAAAAAATGTATTTCATACTTAATACCGTTGAGACAAGTAAAATATAAATAAAATTAAACCTACCTTTTTTTTTTTTTTAAATGTTTGTTAGTGCCTAGGTACTTAATAAATTATTAAATATATTAAATATTATAATTACTTAATTTTTTAATTATTAAATATATTATATTAAATTATAAATCGTACTATTTCATCATTATTCTTAAGTTCTAGTTGGTAGGTATAATGTAATTATTGTATATTTATTGATTTGTTTTAGCTATGTATTAGATTTAAACTATGATTTCCATTATCGTGATCAAATACCTTTTGGCGCAAAAGATAAGAGGAATAATACCATTGCCGATGTTTCAATGGGAATAGTTTTGGCATTTGTTTTGTATAAATGTTACTCTGAACCTGAACATTTGCTTGTATGTATATCTAACATGACATGGTGTTTCTTTTTAATATATTTATATACGTGAATTGTATTTTTATAGGGAGATTTTCCATTTCCTGATTACTCAGAGTGGACTGATGAAGAATTGGGAGTACCGCCAGTTGAATAATTATATATTATTTATTCAGTTAAATTTAGTATACATATGATCCAGAAAAATAATCTATGAAAAAGTGAATAATCCAAAAATAAATATTACATTGATCGTTAATTGTTGTATGATTTTAAATAAAAATACCTGTAACAAATTATTAGATAAAATTTATGTTACATTGTATAATATAGTCTGTCGTAATCTGAATTACTTATTGGCTATTGATCATAAAGATTTAGTTTAGATCAACTTGATGACAAATTCACAATGGTATCTAATTAATTTATATTCTGGCTCACAAGGTTATTTTACCTAAGATTTTCAAATAATTATAACAAAGTATGGAGGGGCTGTGAAAAATTCAAAAATAATTTTGCTGACATATTTAGTACAAATAATATTTTTTTTTACAATAACAATATATTATAATTTATCTTTATAATAATATCTTGGATAATTGTATTTGATCCAATTTATTTTGGTCAAACAATAATTTAGACATTGGCTATAATATTGTCAGCTGAAATGTGGTTCTGCTAAAATACAAAACATGTAAAATTCAAAAAATGGCTAAAATGCAAGTTAGACACTATATATTGAGCATTTTTATGCACTACCCTACAGAGCAGATCATTATTAATTTTGGGGCATGGAACCAAGTTTCGTAGTGATGATTGAAAATAACTAAATTGTTTGGCTTCCCTTGCCACCAAGGTCCATAGTTCTAATTAGTAATTTCTTCCTGTGTTCACTCTAAATAATTGTATTATAATTTATATTATATAAAAGTACCTACTTTTCTACAATAAACTAGGTATAAATGTAGGTAGGTATATACTTTATTTTGTATGATTAGTGAATTGTTAGTTAAAAGTTTAAATTTTAGATTCTAAGCTGAGCGAATGTGTTTTTTTTATTTTTTTAAGTCTATGTACATGTTAAGTGGGTAGTCAAATAATAATGCTTTGATTTCCAACTTTAAATAGTGGTTTCTGGTAGAAAATTGGGACTGAAAAGAAGTAAAAACAGAAAATGTTTGATAACAAAATAAAAGGAATTTTACTATTTCAATACGACAAAATCGGTGTTTTTTTACTATTTATTACTACATGCATCATTCAATTTTAACTGTTTTTAAGCTATTACCTGTATGTTTTTCTAAACTGCTGTCGATAAAAGAAAAAAGATTTTAGAAGTTCTCTATGAATTGTTATATACCTAACAAAAGTTCAAAAATATTAAAGACTTAACATTACAAAGTTTTTTTTTATTTGAAGAATATAAAACTAAAATTTTAACAAAATTCATGAAAATTTGCAAATCGTTTTGTGATTTAAATGTATGAAATGTGCTGTGACACGAGCTCACAAACATGAGAAATTCATATATAGTGTGTTCACGCTAAGACTCTAAGAGGTACCACTAAATATTTCAGTTCGATGATTTTGTACTGAAATGGGGTTTTCGCTGAATGACAGATAGTACTTAAATACACAGTTTTAGATAAATTTCAAATTTTTAACATTTAACACTTTCGATGCGCGATACAACTTACTTTTTTTAAATGGTAACACCAATTTTTTTTTACATATTCGGATAGAGTATTTTTTTTTTCTTAACAATTTATGTATAAAAAGTTTTTTTCTAATTACAAAATTGGCATATGAAATTTAATATTTAAGAGTGATTTGTTTTTGACGAAATTTAAAACTAAATTCAACTTACCTATTGTTACTTATTACTAGCCCTGCGTAGGTCGCGCGGATTACTATTGTAATCCATCTAAAAATAAATGGTTTTTTCGTATATTGAAAACCAATAGAATTATCTTTCCTTTTCAGTACCTTCGAATAACATGTTGCTTAATATAATTAGTTTGTTTCCGAATGCTGATCGCAAAAGTTGTCGTTGTTGTCGGAGTTCAAAGTGTGTTGGATTACCAGTGTATGCCGTGCGATCTTTCACGCCCGTTTTTTTTCTGTAGTTTATAAGTAACGTTTATACAGTAATTTATAAAGCGCTCTTGTTTTTTTGTAATTATTAATATAGAGAGCTAAAATTTATGTAAAATACTTAAATATTAATATGTTTGTACAGATATATTATAAAAATTTAATTACATTGAGCATCATTACAATTTAAGAAAACAAATTCGATTAAATTATTATTTATTCTCATTTAAGTTAAAATTCATATTCTAAAGAAAAAAAGAAAAATTTTAATTTTTTCTTTATCGCAATATATTTTTCAATATGTACTTAGTATTATAAACTTAGAACCTATTAAAAAAAAAATGGATTACTACTGTAATCCGCGCGACTACCGGCGTACTATCAAGGCACGCGACCTACGCAGAGTTAGTTATTAGTATCCAATATTGTTAAATACCTGTTTGCATACAGATAAGATATAAATAAACACTTTTTTATCGTAATTTACTCAAGAAGTTCCATCAACGGATGGCCTCTTCATCCAAGCCCCCTGTCTGAACTGATGTAAATAATTTAATTTAATTAACCTATTGTTTGTTATTTTGTTATTTTATCTTTTCTAAAATTCTTAAATCACTTGTTTTTATTGTAAAAGATTATTTTACAGATTGTATAACTTCTCTAGATTAAAAATAAAAAAAAATTTACCCTAATTTTTTTCATTCATTCTCTTCTGAAATAAGATAGCTAATTGAAGGTAATGAAAACTATAAAATTGTACGCATTTTGAATTTGAAATCAAGGTTTATTTATTTGCAATTAAGTTCTACAGCTTTATGTGATAAATTATTCGAAGTTTCCACCTTGATGATCCAAATATGATTCCAAAGGTTTTAATAATTCAGTGGATGTGGCAGCGTTTATTTGTTCTCTTCTCAAATTACTATACAAGCCAGTCATATTTTGTTTTTTAAAACTTGGAGATTAATAGGTGGGTCTGCATCACTTAATCGTGGTCTGCGTGTACATTTTTTAAATGCCCCCATTAAAAAATTCAATGGGGTCAAGTCTGGAGATATTGCTGGCCATGGAATAATTTTTAACAATAATGGCGTTGTGTGCTGGTGCACCGTCTTGTTGAAAATACTTATTTTCTCGTGTGGCTAATGAAACATTTTCTAGCAGTAACGGAAATTGATTAACAAGAAAATCTAGATATCTTCTACCTGTAAGTATTCCGTCGTAAAAATAAGGACCTAAAAGTATTCCACCAATTAATCCACACCACACATTAATTATACTCCAAACTGTCTGAAAGTTAGTTTCTCGGGACCAGTGTGGATTTGTATCCTCCCCAAACCTATTGTTTTGTTTGTGAATTGAGATTCATCAGTCCACAAAATATTATTATAAAATAAATTGTCGTTTTCAAATTGGACGCTAAACCATGACAAAAATTGTAATCTACGTTCATAAACTCAGATTCGTGAATGTTGGATAAATTCAGGTTTATACGGGTACATTTTGTTTTTTTTCAACATTTTATGTACTGCGCCAACTGATTTACCAATTTGTCGAGATACTATACATGTCTTATTGATGATCGCGGATAAGCACGTATGTAGGCCATTACCTGCAATTCAGTGTCTTCATCAAAATTATTTGGTCTAGGCTGCCGTTGTCTGATTTCATTGCTAGGAAATTGACCGTTTTCATTTAATCCACGTAAAAGTCTATGGACATAATTATGGTGTGGGTGAAACCTATCTGGATACCGATCTGCGTACACCCGAGCTGCTTGTGGAGAACTACGATTAAATTCGCCAAAAATTAGAATAAGATCGACTTTTTCACTGTTATTCATTTTAATAAATTTATTTTATGTAAGACAGTGTATTAAAGTAATTTTTCAGAAAAAAATGTGATACTTGATCAGAATAAAATAAATACAATGTTACATGAACAGTAATTGTCACAAGACTAGTTTGAAATCATTAATACAATTATTAATAGTTAGAGAAAATAATTTTAACATTTATTTATAAAATTATTGTATAAAGTACAGGATTTACTATCTTAATTACTGGCAAATGTTGTCAAAGTTATTTTTATTATCTTATCTGTGTGCAAACAGGTATTTAACAATATTGGATACTAATAACTATACAAAAAAAAATAGTAATAAGTAACAATAAGTTGAATTTGGTTTTAAATTTTGCCAAAAACAAATAACTCGTAAATAGCCGAAAATATACAACGTGAGTATTGATAATGTTGTAACACATAGTGTAAATGTTGAAAATTTTTTTTCATATAATTTAGTATATTCATTTTTGACACAAGTAGGGCTTGTGATAAAAGAAATGACAGCCTACCACAAAAATAAGGAATTTTCGGAAGTAAATCCTGAAGATTTTGTTGATTTTATAAATTATTGTCACCGGCAAACATTAGCAAAAAATATCTGCAGAATTATATATAAAATGGAATTAGATGACAGCCGTACGAATGTTTTTAATACTTGGTTGATTCGAAAAACACCACTACTTTCGGTATATTACTTTTGCTGTACTGCCTGTACTTTCACAATACAAATTATATTAGACATATACGGGAATTTTACGTCACACAACGTAGTCGTTTTGAAAAACAAAAATTGTTAGTATTTGGAAAAAAATGGCCTTTTCAAATTTATTTAGAAAGAAATACAAAAAAAAAATATGATCTATCAGCGTAAAAAATGCCAAATGCCTAAAGTCGGTAGGGAATAGTTAACCTAATAAACTACGAAACAAAAAAAACCCCAGGGAAGACACAAAAAGCTTTATAGGGGATTGACACGGGATGGCGAGTTGGGTTAGTATACTCAATGGCTACTGGTCACCTCTATCTGGCTCTATGGTTCTGTGGCTCAATACGTCACCACGACCGGTCCCGGGGGCGGACGAGTCCAATCGCCGGTATGTTTGTTCGTAGAGACGATCATCTAGACGACTGGTTTGGGCCCGACCACAAGGGCCGCTCAAGCGACTGGACGATTGGCGGCAGGGCGGCTAGTGACGCGATGTTATGCGCTCGATGATTGGCAGGTGCTGAGAAAGAGTGGAGACAGAGTACTGGGCGAGCGAATACAACTGAGATTGCTGCGGAATTGATGGCCACCGGCCAAAAAAGGGGAGAGTATCT